TGAACCTTGGTTTCCTCATCTTTGAAATGAGGATGATGATACTACTATCAGTGATGTTGTGATGATTGAGCAGGAGCATTTGTTAGAGCAGTGGTGGTGAACCTGTGGCATGCATGCTGCGGCGGGCTCACAGAGCCCTCTCCATCAGCACAGGAGCCAGGCCGGCCAGCCAAGGTCTGACAAACGATCAGCATGCACTCAACAGCAAGTATCACATTAATTATGCAAAAGATGCAAATACAAACTTTTACCTTTCAATAAAAAGCTGTTTGTATCATTAAAAGCTCTGTCACTGGGTTTTTCTTTTAAGACAAAAGGTGTTATTATGTATGAGTTTTTTCTAAACTAAAATCTCAGCATTTGGGGTTAATTGCAGTGTAGGCACTTTGGGATAAATAAGTGGGTTCTGGGTTGCCGTTTGGGCACTCGGTCTTGAAAAGGTTCGGCACCACTGTTTTAAATGTTTAGCTGTTGCGGGGGAATTTTCTGCAGTGTCTCAAAGTTCTGCACATCTGTGAGCACAGTTGGTGTTGATGCTGCCGAAGGGCTTTTGCTAGCAAACAGTTGGTGCGGTAGAGAGAAGACTCTCCCTGCCCAGTAAAGAGCAGGCGTGCCTACCATGCGGTGTGTAAGCATAACGCTACATTCATCTGTCCTCAACTCTGGCCGGGAGTCTCGTGTCATCTGTTAATAGCCACAAAACTGTGGCAAGCTGGTGTGCCCAGAATTGAGAGGTTTCCCAAAGAATGTTTCTCAGTACTAAAATCAAGACAGTCTTAGGCAACCCAGGATAGGTTGGTTGCAGTAAAACAGAATAAAATCTCAGCACCTTTGCAGTTCTTGAAGTATTTGCTATGGAAGAACATTAACTTTTAATTTGTGCTAATATTATTAGTCTAGCACATCGGGGCAAGGTGTTTGAAAATATATGGTATTCTACATATATTAATTATCATGACAGGCTACCTTTGATGGTTGTTGGCCATATTAGAAACCAGTCTTAAAAGTTAAATATGAACTAGCTATGATGAACTTAAATATCGCATGTTGATTAAAAACTGTACATATAAAATATCTTCCATGTCAGTATAACTTTTTTGGTGTTGTATTTCTGAATTTTTACTCTTTTAAGGTAGGTGCATACTTGCTGTCTTGGGGATCTTTCGATTGCTTGAAAGGTCCTCTGCACCCTGGTGGGCTCGATGCAGCACCCTATCCCCTGGAGGATGCCTGTTGTCAGTTCGTACCAAAGTCAATTTTTTTTTGGTACCTGGGATCGAACTTGGGATTGAAGTCGGGACCTTGTGCTTGCAAGGCAGGTGGCGGAACCACTGAGCTAAATCCCCGGCCGGCAAAGTCAAATTTTTAATCATCTGTAACTTTTCGTGGGTGTCACTGGCATTTTATGTCCTAACTGACCTCATTAATTTGTTTGTATGGATGAGGTTGAACAATTCCAAACCTAATGCTTTATAATAACATTTAAATGCATATAAGTTGAAACTGGTAAATGTTAAAAAATGGATATAAGGTAAAGGAAAACTACTGAAAGGATTTCGCTTTTAAAAGAGTTAGAACAATAGTGATCCTCCCCCTTATTTTAATAAGAAAATCAGTTCTATTGTTCATAAAAGAGGACTTGGCTTCTGTGGTCTGGTTTGTAGTTAAAGCAAATAAACTGGCTTCATGTTGTATGGAATTCACATTTTAACTGTGAATTAAGCCAGCCTAGTCCTAAAGAAGTTGAAATATTGAACTTGAGATACTGAACTTTTAAAAAATAGACATTATTAGGGCAGTCTAGATCAGTAGTGGCGAACTTTTTAGAGACAAGTGTCCAAACTGCAGCCCCAAACCCACTTCCTTACTGCAGAGTAGCAACACTGAAAGTACACCTGAATCCTGAGGTTTTAATTTAGAAAACAAAAACCAAAACTTATCCGATGCTCAGCTGCTGGGGTGATGTGGCTCGCGGGAGAGAGGGCTCTGCGTCCTCACTGCGGCCACAGCTTTGCCACCAGTGGTCCAGGTCCACGGATTTCCTCAGTCAACAGATACGGAAGTGGGTGAAGTGGGCGCCCGCCACGCTTCCGTTCGCTCCTGGTGACCACGAGTTTCCGTGCCAGTGGGCTACTCCAGCTTTGCTTTTTTCCAGAATGCCACGGCTGGAGAGCGCTCTGGAGTCTGTCGCCTCTCATTTTATAGATAGGAAACTGAGGCTCAGCAAAACCACAGCCTCAGGGTCACAGAGCTCCATCCGGAACGCGGGCCCAGTGAAGTTTGTGATGATGACGTCATTTCCTGTTAGTGTCCCGTAATTATATTTAAATTTGGCCTTAATGTACCAGGTCGACTGATATTTACAGTAAGGGGTGCCCGTGGCTCTGAGTGTCTACTAACCCGCATCGCTATTTGCGCTGTCGCAGCCTCATCAGGGCACCGTTACCTATGCATTCGCTTTGCTCCTTAGTAGATCGCGGATTACGTATGAGATTGGTCTCCGTTCAGCAAAAGATGTGAGCTGGACAGTCGAGAGTATAATTTTCTTCCGTGTGAGATTTGTGGCTTCTTCAGAGTTCGAGACTGTGCACTAAATGAGATTTGAAGTATTTTGGTTTTAGCAAAAGCGGTTAAAGTTTGTAGAGACTTTTAACAAACATAAATCAGGCTTTGATGTAATTGCTGTGAATGGTTTAATTAAAATTTCTTGTAACTCCATGAGAGAATTACTGCCACTGTACACATTCTACAGATGGGCCTGAGAAGGTCATGAGGCCCCACCCACCCTCTGTCCTGGGACTGGGATCTCAGCCAGGACCTTAGGTGTCGGAGCCACACTTGGTCGCCCAGTGAGAGAAAAAACTGGAAACTGCTTGCAGCATGAAATCGGTGAAGGAGCCAACACTTAAGAGAACAGAATTCAAATTAATATTAGAGAACTCGTCCTAGTCTCAGGACTTAATGTAAAAGGCAAAGTTCAAGCTTACTCACCCTCGGGAGGAAAGCACATGTCTAAAACAGAAGACAAAGCTGGGCCTGGTGGCGCACACCTGTAATCTCAGCATTCTGGGAGGCTGAGGCAGGAGGACCGCAAACCCCGCCTAGGTGACTTAGTGATTTAGGGAAACTCTATCTCAACATTTAAGACATTTTATGTAGCTCAGTGCAAAGGCTCTGAGTTCAAGCCCAGTATTGCCAAAATAAGGAAAGAAAGAAAGAAAAGAAAAAAGTGAAATTTTATCATCCTGGCAGAAAAACGACCCAATCGTGAACAACGATGATGATATAGCTATAAATAGAAATACAGACTGTAAAAATTAACAGGTTTAAACCATGGCTACCATTTTTTAAAATTACAGCTCTGTTTTTTCTTCTCGATTTGTGTTCTACTCCATTAGTGAAAAGCCGTCACGGCAAATGTCTGAGCCATGTCCTTTTGTGCCTCAGGCATCCTGTGAGGCCTTCACAGAGAATGTGTGTGGCCCCATGTCTGACAGAATGCTCGGAAGCACATCTCACAGCCCTCTAGGGTTTTAGCAAATGCTTTTACAGTCTCACCCTGGATTTGGGTTTGGCGCTGGCGTCTTGTCTGAGTGAGAAGTTTGGAGGGGCCGGATGAAGGCAAGGTGGTTGGCTGTGGGGTTCGTGGTGCCGTCCATGGCTAAGTGGCTGCAGCTGGGCAGGGGAGCCGGGTTGGAGCAGGTCCCTGAGGCGCAGGAGGTGGACTCCAGTCCCTGCTCCTCCCTCCTCTCACTCTGCTTCCCAGCCACCATGAGGTGAGCCCCTTTCCTCTGCCAGGTCCTGCCTTCCTGCTTCTGCCGCGGAGCCAGCTGACTGGACAGAAAGTGAGTCGAAACAAGCCTTTCCTCCTGTCAGCTGTGAGTGTTGGGTGTTGTGTCCCAGCGCTGTGCCAAAGTGACCACGCCACTGGGGATGAGGAGGAAGTATCGGTTCCTCTATGCCAGCAGTCACTTACCTGTTGTCTCTCCTTGCATTTTACCAGCATGAAGCCACCACACATCAGCCTCCTTTTCAGAGCTTCTGTTTCATCGAGTAACACCGAGTTCTCTCTTCCCGCGCCTGCCGCAGCTGACGCTGACCTTACCGCGGAGCTCTCTGCCTCTCCCCAGCCAGGGCCCGCTTTCCTAGTTTCCATAACCTTTCCCGCTTTCCTGTACGCTCTCCTGGACAGGTTCCTCCAAGGACAACACATCCTGCTACAGCTTCGCAAGACGAGGCAACTCCCGTAGGCGTTTGCAGAGGGACGCGGGCAGCTCGCTGCTTGCCTTGCAGCTGTTTCTCTCTGGAAGGGAGACTTGGGTGAAGCACCTCTGTGGCACAACCCGGGACTGCATTCCGTGCACCTGCGTGTCAATCAGCCTTTCCTGTCCCATCTCCCACACGCTGCCAGTGTCTCACTGTAAGGGTTTGCGACACAACTTGTGTGAACTCCACGTCTTCACGTGCCACCACACCATGACATGTGGGAGGGAGGCCGAGTCGGTGGCTCTCAGCACCCCGTACTGTGATGCTGTCCAGGTGACTGTCCTGAAGGTGTTCTGCGGCGCCTGGAACCAAACCTTGGCTCTAGCACTGACTGGCTATGGGACTGGGCCAAGTTGTGGCCGCCGTCTCAGCGTCAGTGCTGACCTTGGCCTGCAAGCTCTTTGCCTTTCTTTGTCTCCCCTCCGTCATCTCTAAGATGAGAACAGTAGCACCTTCTCCCTCGCAGGGTTGCTGGGATTAACTGGAGTAGTACAGGGTAGGGCTTCCAGCGGGACCTAGCACAGTGCTCACTAAAGGTTAGCTTCAGTTGCTAAGGGTCTGACCTCGAGGGCGGGATCTGGTCCTTGAGGCTCCTGGGTCCTAAGGCAAAGGGACACGCGGGTGGGTGCACTGCCCCCCAAGAGCTCCCGTTGTCCTGGAAAGTGTCCAAGGACACCATGGGCCATGATGAGGGGAATTCGTCAGCAGCCTTCATGCGCTCCTGTCCTGTCCAGGCCTGCAGGACAACCCCTGGCTCTGTGACTGCCACCTCTCCAGAGTGGTGGAGCTGGCCAAGGATGCGGACCCCGGCCTGGTGCTTCTTGACTCCCTCCTGGTCTGCAATGAGCCCGAGCGCCTCGCAGGGATCCCATTCCAGAGGGTGGAGCTGGAGCAGTGTGTGAAGCCGTTGGTGGTGGCCTCAGCCACCAGGATCACGTCGGCCCCGGGCAGTAACGTCCTGCTGCGATGCGACGCCACGGGCCTCCCCACCCCTCAGCTCACGTGGACCAGGGACAGCTTGCCTGCCCGTTCCGCAGGTACCGGCCTCATGGGGCCCGCGGGACGAGGGGCCCACAGAAGCCCGAACTTAGTCTGGGTTTTTGGGCAACTTGAAGAGGCTGGTTAATGAACCCCAGTGAGGCTCCGAGGCTGCTGGGTGTGGGGGTGCTAGGGTCTTCTGCTGCTGTGGCTTGACAGGGAGATGGAACCCAGGCCTTCATGCTCTTGGCCAGCGTTCCACCCCTGACCAGTGCCCACACTCCCCTGACGCAAGGGACCCCAGGACTATTACTGCTTAATCTTCTCCTTGGTTTATTTAACTACTTAGATAGCATCACCCAACCTGATCTTCTTAGGTAGAAAGCAGCATGGCACGGTAGATGGATGGTTCCTCACAAGGTCTTGTTCATCTTGGATGCAGCTTAATTTTCACTTAGGAGGCTGAGGCAGGAGGATTGCCTTGAGTTTGAGGCCAGCCTGAATTACACAGCGAGACCCTGTCTCAAAAAAAAAAAAAAAAAAAAGTGTAACCATTGAAAACTTTTTGTAAAGGGACTTTCATACAAATTTCTTACTTTTGAGTAATCATGTAAATAATAAATTACACAGAAACCTTATTATGAAGCAAAAAGTGCAATTTTCAGAAGTAGCGATTGCAGACTGTGGAGCCGCCCTGACCAAACCCATGCTTCAGCCTCAATCTCCACAGCGAGAGCCTGACAGAGAAAGGGAAATATATGTACAACTCTTCAATGGCCGGGGATTTAGCTCAGTGGTTTTGCCACCTGCTGTGCAAGCACAAGGACCTGAGTTCGATCCCCGGTACCAAAAATCCCAACAAAAACTCTTCAAAATTAAATTCAAGTTGAGGTTCTAAAATAAAACTTGGGACTAAAAATATCAAGGCCTAATGTTTCTGTAGATAGCTACCAAACAGCTCCCAGTTTAGGCCTGTCACGTACATTATTATTCCTCAGAAAGCTTCTGGAATCAAAACAGAATGGAAATTTGTTCAGATTTTAGTGTTTAGGAAAGCAAAACTCCAATTTTGTAAAAACTAAATAATCTGCAAACAAAAACATCTATAATTTAGTTTGTCTAGGTTAAATATACAATGAATAACTTCAGGTGCAAATGATGACTCCTCCATGCCAGAAAAGACCTGCTGCACCCCCAGCTCTGTGGACAGATGCATTGAATCAGTCACAAATATCTTGAGAAATATTTAAATAAAGCCCCAGCATGAATATCTTGTAGAATCCCAGTTACAGTGGGAAGGGGCCTTTCAGATCGCTTTGTCTCACCCTGCTTTACAAATGCAGAGACAGCTCTACAGACGCAAACTGACCTGGAAAATCAGGTGCTTTTTAGTGGACCACAGCTCACTGTACCCCAGCACCCCCGAGCTCCGTCCGCACAGCCCCTTGGAAACCACTCTCCATGCAGCTCTTGGGGACCCGGGAGGTCCTGGGCTTCACGCAAACCTCACAGAGCCCCACCCTCGATCAGATATCCACACAGCACCAGCTCCCTCCGCTGTGGTGCAGGGATGCAGGCAGCATGGAGAGCTGCTCCCCCCAGTGAGCTTCCCTCCCTCCTCATGGAGCACGCATTTGTTTTCTTGCAGTAATTCAAGAATCTCCGAGAGATGGAGTCCGATGGTCCGTAATAAGCCTGACGGGCATTTCTTACAAGGATGCTGGGGATTACAAATGCAAAGCCAAAAATTTGGCTGGGATGTCGGAAGCCGTGGTGACCATGACCGTGGTTGGCGTTGTCACAACCACCCGATCACCAGACACTTCCGACGGCAGGACAGGTGCTCACCGCGACCAGGAGGCCCAGCCAGGACCCGGGCCATGGATGTCCACACATGCTTCACCGCCATTCCCCGGGCCCTCTTTCCCCTCTTCTTCCTCCCCCTCTCCTCCCACCCCTCTTCCTCCTTCCACTTTGCCTCCCCCCTCCACTGTTTCCTTCTCTTCGTCTCCTTTCTACTCCACGGCTTCCCTCACCACCCTGAGAAGCAGCATTTCCTCAGGTGCGACCAGCACCAACAGGCAGCCTGTGCAGCCAGCCCCAGATGGGAGAAGCAGTGCGAAGGTGGAGGCGAAGGAAAGCGAGCTTCCCCCGGCCACTGCCCACAGGAAGGAAGAGCTGGCGCTGTGGGGTTGGGCAGCGCCCACGGAGGCGAATGCCACCATAGAGGGCCTGAGGGTGGTCAGCGAGACGGGGGAGAGCGCGACTCTGACGTGGAGCACTGTGAAGGCCAGCCGCCCCTCTGCGGTGACGGTGCTGTACTCCAAGTACGGGCAGAAGCACCTGCTGCTGCTGGACGCAGACGCTAGCAGCAACCGAGTCACCATAGAGGGCCTGGAGCCCGGGAGCCGGTACGTGGCGTGCGTGTGCCCCAGGGGAGCGCCTCCCCGGAGCGACCAGTGCATCACCTTTGCCACCCACAGAGCAGAAGATGGTGACTCCCAGTGGGTTTTCCTCGTGGTGGTGGCTGGTACTGCCTGTGTTGTTGCAGGGCCGTTAATTTGCTTTTTACTGTATAAAGTTTGCAGACTACAGTGTGGGTCAGAATCTTTCTGGGAAGAGGATTTGGCAAAAGAGACTTACGTCCGGTTTGAGACCCTGTCACCCGAGTCTCAGAACGTAAGGGAGCTTTGGACCCGAAGGCAGAGAGACGATTCAGAGAAACTGCTGCTGTGCTCCAGGTCAAGTGTGGAATCGCAGGTGACTTTCAAAAGCGAGGGGTGCAGACCAGAGTGCCATCCCTGAGGCCTGGGCCCAGGTGCACGCGAGCTCACAAGTGAGGCTCCCGGGGTTCAGGTGACCCCGTTTCGGGGACTCTAGGACAAACTTTCATACCCTACATGAAAAACACAAATGGAATGTTTTTCAAGAAGATACCATGAAGCTTCTGAACTGAAAAGACAGCCTTGGTTTTGTGTGCGGAGGGTGTCTGTAGAAATAAGTTTAGGGTGGTGCTTCGTAAATTAATGATGATTTTTAGGTTAGTTCTTAAAAATAAACTCATTGAAAGACAGTTATAGCAAGTGGACCCTGCGTTTTTAAGAACAGTGACAGTGAAGAAAGATTAGAATAACCGGCTAAGCCTTGATGTTCACTCATGTGCAAAGTGCTTTACAGAGGTTGCTGTCGGCGTTTGCTGCCACTGCCTAGGGGACAAACGTGGGACCACGAAGAACTTAGTGTCTGCTGGGGTCTGAATGCATCTCCACGCAGAGGGCTGGGTCTGTGACTGCGGATCACTATGCATTATAATACCAGCGAGTCCTGTTCACATTCCCTGTCAAAACATTTTCCCTTGTCCTAGAAAGGGAAAGGTGTTAGCGAAACAGATTAAAAAGACGACCCTCACCAATACACCACATATATAGTAATATATAATTTTCACACATGCTGATGGTTGTGTTAAATACAACATAATGTGCTAATTTTAAAACCACGTCTTTAATATTTTGATATTTGTTCTTTTCCCTCTCTTTGTCTTTATCCCCTTCCTTTCTTTTTTTGTAACTTCTTTGGTCAGAAGATGTTCAGAAAGCCAAAGGACTGCAAGCTAAGCAGTTTCTTCTTTTGGCACATTACAGTTTGATTCTCTAGACAAAGAGAATGCCTCTGAAATCACTAACTATCCTTTGAAAGTCTTTTTTTAAGGTCTCAAAAGGTTATTGTAGGATTTTGAAAGAAAAATTACAGGGGATTCATTTGGTCAAGATTTTATCCTGGGTTTAAAACATCAGGGGAATTGGAGGAGGATAAAGGATACATAGGAATACACAGGCCCATAAGTGATACTCAGGTTTTTCTAAGGAGGCTTTCCTCAGCTGTAGGAGACTGTGAGAGAGATCGTGGTTGGTAAGGGTGACGAGAGCCAAAAGGCCCCTGGAGCATCACGGGGCTGACTGGATGCATCGCTCGGCCATGCGAGGCGGCTGCCTGGGGCTGCAGGGCCAGGCCACGTCGGCACAGAGGCCACTGTCAGGAACCTTAGAATGAGCCGAAGCTTTCCAGAGCTGGAACCCTCTGTAGGAGAAACACCCAGTAACTGACCAAGGCCGGGCCCGGGGGTCAGGGAGGGAGGGTGCTGCAGCCCCAAGCTTGTCCTCAGGCTCCAGACCTGCCTGGGCTCCCCACTGTCCCCAGCCCTTCCTGGCCTCTGGTCTGCTTCCCTCTCTGTCCTGTGGAGCGAGGCCCAAGCAAACTGCCTGGGCATCCACCCAGCTGACACATCCTCGGGGGAAGCTAACCGGACCCCCAAACCCTCACTCGTGGAGACTGGCCCTGGGGGGGGGGGGCTTGCGGAAGCCAGTGGGTGAGGATTCTTGGCTGTGGGTTTCACCAGGACTGTTCTGCAAGGCCAGCCTCCGGGCCTGGCCGAGACTCCAAAGCCTGCTCAAGGAGCTGACAGAGGCCAAGGAGGGAGGTGCTGGCTGGCAGGAAGCGGCCTGCAGCTCACAGGCCAAGAAGTGCAACAGCTGGATTCTCTCCCCAAAGACGGAGAGCTGGGTCCTCCGTGAAGGCCCTGTGAAGCTCATGCTGGAAGCACAGCTGGTGGGGTCTGCACAGCTGTCACGGTTCACTGCCCGCTGTGGTGGCTGCTGGCGGCCTGGGGACAGCGCACTCAGCCCCCGCCTCCTACCTGGAGGGCTGAGGGGAGCCGTGTGCAGCCAAGGACTGACGAGAGTGACCGAGGCCGTGGGTGACCTTATTGCTGCCCCATAGCACGGGCACTGTGGGGAGGTCCCCAAGCCAGCCACGGCTCTGCAGAGCTGGCCAGCCTGTGACCTGGCTTTGTGCGAAAGAGCTGCTGTCCCTCACGCACAGATGCTGGGTGGTCACTGGCTGTGCTCCTCTTGTCACAGCCGTGGTGTGTGCGTGGTGACTGCTTCACACCCCTCGGGTTAAGCACTAACTGCAGTGTCCCCGCTGGCCTCAGACGTCTGCCAGCCCTGACTGCCCTGCTTGCGGGCAGGGTCCTTACTGCTGTGTTTGCCAGCAGCCTCTTGGCCCCAACCCCCACAATTCCTATGGCTGCACCCCCTGAAACACTCAGAGCTGCGGCTGTGCTTGGCAGTCAGCTAGGAGGGGAAAGATCTGAACCTAGGCTTGTTCGCCCACCCTCAAGGTCAGGTTCCTGTGTCTGTGTCGTTGCCTCCAGTGAGCAGTGTCCCTGGACCCCACTGCCAGTTCCAAGTCCCGAAGCCCTTGTGGTCCCATCCTGGCTGGCGGCTGCTCCATGGTCAGGCAATAGCAAGCCTGCTACCACCGAGTGCATGCGTTCCCTCCTCCTCCTGTGTCCTCACGTGGCTGCTGCTCCAGGCCCCAGGATGCTCGCTCTTCTGGCTGGCTGCATCCCACACCCGCGTGAGGCTCCTCTGGACCGAGTCACTGATGACTCAACAGTGGGACGCCTGGTACACAGAGCAGCCGGCCTCCCATCCAGCTGGGGCGCTCTTCTGACTGCTGGCGCCTGCACACTTTGGGTCGGTCCTGGTTACTCCCTGCCACCTGTTCCTGCCTCACTGTTGGGGAGACGGGTCCAGCTGAGCCCCTCTCAGGGTCTCCCCTGATTTCTCTGCCGGACCCTGGGCTTTGTCCTCTCTGCCAGCGCAGTTCAGCTCTGGCCAGATGGTTCCGAGGATGCCGCTGATTCCGGTCTTACCGTCACGGGACGCACTCGCGATGAGGGGACCTGGTTGGGCACTGTTGCGCCACTGTCCCCAAGCGTCACGGTGGCCCTGGTACCTGCCCTTCACCGCAACAGGCCCAGTCCCCCTTCCTGGATCCTGGAGCTCGGGAGGAGCGGAAGCTGCTCCTGCTCTGGGCCACAAACATCCAGCAGGCGGCGGTTCGGCCGCTGTGGTGCTGCTTATATTCCTTAGCCTGCCGATGTTGGAGCTAGAACAGATTTCTAAAGCTGCCGGGAGTCCTGACGTATTCTGAGAAGCAAGTTCTAAAAAACACATTTTGTGTAAGATGCATGCTGCCTTTAATGAACCACATTCTCGAAAGAACAGTACAAGCGGGTGAGCAGTTCACAATTGTTCGTTCTAAATGACTCTTAATTTAAAAAAAAGTCTAGGCATAATGTACACACTGGAAGGCCAGTGTGGATGGACGCCCTCCTCAGACTCCCAGATTCCCCTGTCTCCTTCAATTTCCTCTCTTTGCCTTTTCTTTCCTCTGTGTCCCGGGTCCCTTCGGTGTTTTCATCTCTGCGTTCATTGCCTAAGGACCTAACAGTTTTTAATTCAGCTTTCATTGTTAGGATTAAAATGGCTGTTTGCACAGAATTTTGTGTTTAGCTTCAAAATATGTTAGACCAACTTATTTTAAATTAAAGGGTTGCAAAACTTTCATTTCTTTAGCGTCCTATAAATGCGTTGCAATTTTGTTGTCACGTATTTAGAAGGCTCGTATGAAGTGACTACTAAAATACCACCTTATACAAATCGTGTGACTGTGGGACAATGGCAGAGATTTTGGAGCTGAATGCTGGGTACAGAGGGGTCCCCAGACTGTACGAAGGCCGGCTACTGACCAAGCGAGGAGACCTGCACCACCGGATAAGGTGAATGACAGATCACCCTCACAGCCACGGTCAGGTGGAAGCTGGACCTTGCCCTGACCTGTGAGCAGGCATGCTTGGTGGCATGGAGGAGCCTGGGTACTCGGAAGAAGCCCGTGTTGTCCCTCAGCTCGGGCTTGGCGCATGTGGTGTGCTGAAGTACTGAGATGGTGAGGTCTCTCTTCTCCAGCGTGTGTAGATTTGAACGGATCAGCGTTGGCCCAGGGATAGTACTGCTCTCATGTCCTCAGGCTCTGAGAAAGGCTGACACTGGAGCAAGTGACATGGAAGGTGATGGAACCGACAGCGTGGTCGTGAGTGTCTCCAGGGAGTTGGTCCAGAGCAAGCCCGACTTTCTCTGTCTGTAGCCATTGTAGGTGGCAATTAGAAAAGAGGCAAGTGTTTCACTTTCAGGAAAAATGTGTCTGAGTCTGCAGTGATGTGCTGTGACATGAAAAATGTTGAAATCTCCAGGCTCTTAAGATGTCCCACAAAGGGAACCCTTAATAGGCAAGTGCCCTGGGCTTCGGAACTTTTACAAAAAGTTCAAAGAAACAAATTAATTCTGGCCCATAGACTTGAGTCTGAAAAAGAGATTATGGCTTGAAAGTCACCTTAAAGAGATAGTATTAAGTATTGAATCTAGCTGGAGCTGGTTGTGATAGGGCTCTGGGAGGCTGAAGCGGGAGGATGGCAAGTTTCAGATCATCCTGAGCAACTTAGTGGCTTGGTGAGACTCTGTCTTAACAAAGAAAAGAAAAGGAAAAAAGAGGAAAGAAATAGGGCTCAGTGTGAGGCTCCGGGTTCAATCCCCAGTACTGTACATAATAATAGTGATAAACAATTCATAAATCTAACTGGGGTACTATAAATAGTAATGCTGATAATTTACAAATCTAACTGGGATAAGTGTAAAATTTTGCATTTGGGTGAAAATTGCATACTTAGCACAAATATGGAAGTTTAAAAGAAAAAAATCTGCGACTTTGTTGATGACACTCATTGTGTGACTCAGCAGAAGCAGAGTTAATGCTGGCACGGAGAGTCCTTGGCAGAGGCAGAGCAGACCCAGGGGGAGAAGAGACCATCTCAACCCTGGGTGCCCGCTTCAAACAGAACCTGAGAAGCCAGTGTCCCTGGGGTATTGGCCAGGACAGCCAGGCAGCGGGCAGGGACCATGGCAGGGCTGGCAGCCTGG